AAGCTCCAGCGATGGAACTGATAGACAAATACGTTACACATTTTTTACTTTCTATGACTACTGTCTATTTTTAAATCCTCAGTGCACCATTTCGGCCTTCTTCAGAAAAAAAGAGAAGAAAGTTTGGAACATTTTAATGTAGCAACAGCCAAGGAAATTTAGTTCATCTTGTTTGTCCGTTTTCTTGCAGACTTTCTGTGTCTCTCTTTCTAAAAATGGTGTGAGAAAGCTATTCGGATATTAAAAAAAAAAAAAACACAACTCTTGTAAGTGGATAAAACGTGTGCTGACCACAAGGAAATTGATATCTGACTTCACTCGGGAAAGGTATCAATATATCTTACGCAGTAAATATCAGTAAGAGACTGTAATGTTAACGATACGAATTTTGAATTCAAATTTTTCCACTCGAGTATATCTGTCGTTGTTGGCCCTGATGTGGTGATCAAGGAGAAGACAGTGGAAATCAAAGCACATTCAACTGTAATACTCAATATTCCAAATTCTAAACTGTCTTACTTTGGAAGGCTTGAACTCTATTACATCGAACTAATGAAAAGGTCGGTTAAAGGGAGAGCAAATTGAAGGAAGTTGTTTTGCTTTAATGGAACGTAATTTGTTAGGAATAGTTTTGAGACAGTTGGATAGCAACGGGACACTTTTTCAACTTGAAATTGTGGTTAAATATAAAACGTTTTGTGGGTTTTAATTGCTGCGGAACATGTCTTTGATCCCCTAAGATAAGTTCGAAATATAATAGATCCACGAAGCGTGTCTGATGTAACCTCTGTCTTTTCTAATCGACTTGTGGTAAATTTTGACAATTATTAGCTTCCTTCCTTCTCAATTTTTCGTTATTTGAACAGTAAATAAATAGCAAAAATTAGCTCCTAACGGACATTGTTTTGTTCAAATCGAATGTAATTTGTCAGGATAGGTTTTGAGACAGTTGGATAGCAACAGAACGCTTTTTCAACTGGAAATTGCGGTAAATTATAAAACGTTTTGTGGGTTTTAATCACCGCGGAACATGTCTTTGATCCCCGAAGATAAGTTCAATATACAGATCGACAAAGCGTGTCGGATGTAACCTTTGTCTTTTTAATCGACTTGGGGTAAATGTTGACAATTTATAGCTTCCTTCCTTCTAAATGTTTCGTTACTTGAACAATAAATAGCAAAAATGAGTTCCCATGTCGACCCACGTCAATTTGGACGTTATCGACACTCTACAGTGCACGCACAAATTTATTTAATGCAAGCTATACACGAAGCTATTGATTCAGGTAACTGCTCTGTTTGGATATTTTTTGCTGATTTTACTAAAGGTTTCGATATCATAGACCACTCAATATCATTAGATGAACTCAGATCGTTCAACATCGATCAAACTCTGTTTTTTTGGATTCGTTCCTTTCTTACCAACCGGACACAGGCTGTACGTGTTGGCTCCTTCCTGTCACCATGGAAGCAAGTCAATGGTGGCGTCCCACAGGAAACAAAACTCGGATTAACGCTCTTTACTGTTATGATAAACAAGCTACTCAGTAATTGGCATATGCGCACGAAGTATGTTGATGACACTAATGCATTTGAGATCATTCCAAGGAACTCCGTTAGTATGTTAGATGTAGTTGTCAGAGAAATCCATGATTATCGCAGAGAACATAGGATGAAATTAAATCCCAAAAATGTAAAGAAATGTACGTAAATTTCATGAAGAATTCGATTACTGCAATGCGACCTATAACTGTTGGGTAGGAACTTATAAGCTTTTAGGAGTTATAATTAGGGATGACTTTAAATGGAACACTCACGTTGAATATGTGACTGCCAAGGCAGCTAAGAAATACGCTCTAAGGTTGTTGAAACGCGCGGGAGTTATGCTAGAAGACATGCTTAAGGTATACACTTGTAATATCAGATCGGTCCTAGAGTATGCTGCGGCAAGACATTCCCGCATACCTCTCTGAGAGCCTTAAAAATTATATTCCCAAATTTTAGTTACCAACAAGACCTAGACCAGGCAAAATTGTCATTATAATTTGGATATATCAACAAAGTTGAAATGGTAAATTGGCCACCGTAATGATTACAAAAGCTGACGTTTCGAGCGTTAGCCCTTCGTCGGAGCGAATAGAGGAATTGTGGGTTGTGTGTGCTTTTAAAGGCAGAAAATGGAGCTACGTTATTGGTGGGTGCATGGCAACGAGAAAAACATGAATAAATTAGTGGAATGAAAAGCGTTCATTGATCCCTGTGGGATTTAGACTGCCGGTTTGAAAGATGAGCTTTTGTTCAAGATTTTTACGGCTTTCCGTGCCACCTAAGTGCAAGGAAAGACCGCAGATTGCCATATGTTGCTTAGAATGATT